AAAAAAAAAAAAAAAAAAAAAAAAAAATCCAGTAATAATATAGCCAAAAAGAGCCACTGGATTTGGCAACCTGGAGGTCGACAATGGAATGCATTTCATTTATTCAAATGTTTATTAAATATCTTCTGTGTGTTAAGGATACTAAGGATACAGAAGTCAATAAAACAGACCAAAAAATCCCTCCTTACATGTAGCTGAAATTCTAGTTGCAGGGAAGGAGCAGGTAAATAAAGGAAATAAATAAGTAAATTATTCCAAGTATTAAAAGGCAGTGAATGCTCTGAAGGTTAGATAAGCTGCCTCGGGTCACAGGGCCAAGTAAGTGAAGAAACTAGGACTCGAAATGAACCTGCTGAACTCCAGAGTTGTGCTCTTCTTAGTGTTGTACCACACCTCCTCTCCCACATTGATAGTCTTGCTTTCATTGCCACAGAATGCCATACCGCCCCAACTAAATGTTTCAGAAACAAACCAAAGTACATGCATAGCTTAATCTAAACTCAACACCATTTCTGAAAGCCAGGTATGAGGGGACATCCCCTTCATAGTGGACAGGTAGTACCAGTTTTATATGTAGATGGTATATTGAAAAGTCATTTCATCTGATCGTAAAATTATTTTTCTAAGAGGATGGCTGGATGCAGTAGCTCATGCCTGTAATCCTAGCACGTTGGGAGGCCGAGGCAGGCGGATCACTTGAGGCCGGGAGTTTCAGACCAGCCTGGTCAACATTGTGAAACTCCATCTGTACTAAAAATATACAAATTAGCCACGTGTGGTGTTGTGCACCTGTAGTCCCAGATACTCGGGAGGTTGTGACAGGAGAATCACTTGAACCTGGGAGGTGGAGGCTGCAGTGAGCCGAGATCATGCCACTGCACATCAGCCTGGGCAACAGAGTGAGATTCTGTCTCAAAAAAATAATATTATTAAAGGATAAAACGTTCCTTTCAGAGATGGAGCATTTTGGTAATAATAGGGTTCGGTCAGGATGGCTCTGAAGGTGGTGATGATATCCAAGGGGTGGCCAAAATGGTATAAAGGTGAGGATCACTGAAGCCAAAGGCCAGAAACTGGTCATGGGCTGGGTCATCTTTATAGATGCCAAAGTTACCTAAGATGATGGCGAGGCTAGGAGGGGGTGAGCCACCAGGTGTCACAGTCTTTAATGAATGTGGGAGAGTGGCCAGATTAGTAGATAATAGCAGGCCAAGGAGTACGGTTCAGTGACATCAGCCCCAGCTAAGTGCTTCTGTCATGAGAGTGAAGGAGGAAGGGTTTGGGAACAGCAACAGAGAGCGAGAAGAATGCCACCATCGCTCTGCTCCCCACCCTGTCACATCTATGAGGTGGAGAAATGAACAGCCTCCACTTGGGAGCTCCACAGGGGAAGGACCAGTAAAGACAAGGAAACAGAAGAAGACTTTAAAAAGGCTAAGGGCATGGGATTATGTTTATCATGTCCAGAAGGCATAGGTTGGGAGGGAATGTAAGTATGAAATTGAATCTGTCCCTAATGTCTGCTTCCATCCAGGCAAAATAAACCACAAATATATGGACAGGGTATCATGATTGTATTGCATGTTAATATCCATTCTAAGCCCATAGAACAAGAAGAACCCCACAGCAGCCATTCTTTGCCATCATCTTGGCCAGGAGCCCAGCGTCCAGAGTGTAGACTTGAGACTCTGGCTCCTTCTGCTAGGACATTTATTTCCTAGTGTTTCAATCACCTCATCCCAGCTTCTGTTCCCTGCCAGGCTCAGAGCCCCTACCTCCCACACAGCGGAGGAGTAGATGTCCATTTCTCAGGAGCAGTGGACTGCTTCCGGCAGATAGTGAAGGCCCAGGGGATCCTGGGGCTCTGGAATGGATTGACAGCCAATTTACTGAAGGTGAGAAGAGCCACCAGTCTCCGCTGTTCCTCTGCCTCTTCCAATTCTACCCTCTTCTTTTGTCACCCCAACCCCCACCACAGTTTGCTTGGAAAACCCCCTCTAGCACTAATGGGTAGCACAAGGCCCATGAATGCACACTGTCTGTCAGCCCTGTAGACAAGGGAACCTGTGCAGTGGTGGAGTATCTTATACCCCATTCCAGAGGAGCTGAGCATTTAGTGCAGAGATACCTAATATGGAGGTTCATGGGCCCCTAAGGGGAACCTAACCCCTCATCCTAAAATTCTATGCAAAAATATATGTGTATATGCATATGTGCATCATATTCCCAAAGAACTCCATGACCAAAAAAAAAAAAAAAAAAAGTTAAGCACTCTGGACTAACCTTGCACTAGCTGGCATGTAAATGATTCCAGTCAAGGTCAGCATATAGTGACAGGCAGTATCAGATAGTCTGCGTGCATATGACCCAGATCCAGCGCCTCCCAGGCAGGTCATGCCCTTCAATCACTGTCATTCCTCTCCCAACCCACACCGAACCAGTTTTCCTTTTGCCATCTTCCCTGATTCCAAAAAGAGTTACCATTTGTGTTGCCACCACCATTATCTCACTTTACAAGATAATTTACTCTGATCCAAGTTGACTGCAGACACATTGATGTTTTCTTTTTAAGAATTTAACTTGATCTTCATTTTCGGTTTTAACAGATAGCTCCGTATTTTGGAATTATGTTTAGCACCTTTGAGTTCTGCAAGAGAATCTGTCTTTATCAAAATGGTTACATTCTGTCTCCACTGAGCTATAAATTGACCCCAGGAGTCGATCAGAGTTTGCAGCCACAGGAATTACGAGAATTAAAGAAGTTCTTCAAAACGAGAAAACTGAAGTCTAAAAAACCAACTCTATAAAATGGAATGGAACTAGAAGTGCACCGACTGACAGCGTGTTGCAATCACAGATAAATGTAGCCTCATAACTGTACACCTGAGGAGGGATGAGAAGCTACTGTTATCTGCTGCTCTGGGAAATGAGACGGTTTGGCCATGCACCACCTCAAATCTCCAAACTGATGTCCCTGTGAACACCTGCACCATGAGAAGGTTTCCCAACAAGAGTGTATCATGATAGCATTCCACGAGATTTTATAACCAGAGTCTAGCAGTGATAAAATGTACAATTTATGCTCTGAATAGAAACGTGACACCAAAGAAAGGGCATTGCCATGACATCTCAAAGCAACAGGTAATTGAAGTGGCTGAGTGGATACCACGTTGTGAGGTCAGCCACTGGGTCACTTGTAGTCAATGCAAAGCTTGCACAAACCAACGTCAGCCTAGTTTCACTCAGTTTGACCAGAGACTTCCCAATACAGTCTGTTGTTGTTTTGTTTTTAGAGATAGGGTCTTGCTCTGTCACCCAGGCTGGAGTACAATGACACAATCATAGCTCACTGCAGCCTCGAACTCCTGGGCTCAAGACATCCTCCTGCTTCAGCCTCCTGAGAGTTGGGACCATAGGTGCACACCACCATACCTAGCTAATTTTATTTTTCTGTGGGGGTGGGGGGTGGGTGGGGTCTTGCTATGTTGCCCAGACTGGTCTTGAACTCCTGGGCTCATGCAGTCCTCCTGCCTTGGCCTCCCAAAGCCCTAGGATTACAGGTGTGAGCCACTGCACCCTGCCCCAGTACAATCTTTCTTGAACTCAAATTTTTGCTGACTTCTGAGTACACACACCACAGTGTAAATTATGCCTTATCAGAAACTAAATGGAAATAGCAAACATTTAAAAGTGATCACCATTGTAGTAGAGTCATCCTTATTTTTTGAAATTTGAAGCATCCCAGGCTTATAAATCTTGTGTTTCACAAAGACAGTTTATACCATGACTGCTTAATTATCCCCCCGAAGAACTTCTGATTGAAGTCATGTACAGTTCAGTGGCCTAAATTCTCTGCCTTTTTAACTTGCTTTGCAAGCCTACCCTGAAAATAAATTATTTAGTCAAGTTATTCTCAAAGATGTCCCAGTTGCCTAGAAAGGATCAAATGGAACATTTGACACACATACCCAAAAAAATGTAACTGACTATAAACACTTTAACCTAATCATCTGTATCAAACTTCCTAAAAATCAAATTTCAGGATTGTTCCACCTTAGAGATTCTATGTAAAGTTTAAATAACTATATTTTTCAAATAGCACCTATCTATGCACTTAAAAATGCATTAATATCCAACATTAAATTGTTAATTTATACACAGACATACACTCCTACACAGAGATTTTCAGTATGTTGCAAGTATTTTTCTGATTAAATGTATTTTCCAAAGAAAAAACGATGTGTTGGTCATTTATTGCTAGTCTGAGTTATAAAACTATGGTCAAATACATACTGGCCAAATCTGTAAACTCTCAGAGCCTTATCCTATTTAAGTATACCAAAATAATTCACTTTTCCAACTGCTGCGGCATTCTGTTTTATGGAGAATGGCAGTTAACACACACACATGGAAATCTCATCTGTAGCTCAATCTGTTAGAGTTTGGAGGGTGGCAGATTCTTTACCCAGAGTGAACAGTTCATGTTTATTACTCTTTATTTTCCTTGAAACAGACAACTTTTCAAACAGTTATGAAAGCTGCAAAAATATTTTTTCCTTTTTTTTAACTAACTCTAAAATCCTAACCTCACATTATTTCATGATAATATCTTGTGTATTCTTCCACAAGTAATTTTTTTTTTTTTTGAAAAAAAAATTGTCACCCAGGCTGGAGTCCAATGGCATGATCTCAGCTCACTACAACCTCCTCCCGGGTTCGAGAAATTCTCCAGCTTCAGCCTCCCAAGTAGCTGGGATTACAGGCACCCGCCACCATGCCTGGCTAATTTTTGTATTTTTAGTAGAAACGGGGTTTCACCATGTTGGCCAGGCTGGTCGCGAACTCCTTACCTTAGGTGATCTGCCCACGTTGGCCTCCCAAAGTGCTGGGATTACAGGTGTGAGCCACGGCACCCCGCCCTTCCACAAGTATTATTAAATAGATAGCTAAGCTCTTGCAGTTGTCATGCACAGAAATGTTTTCTGAGCTGCAGTTTTGATTTTTTCTTCATTAAATTAAGTGGAGAAAATAATATTCCTGATTTTTCTAATATCAGAAGAACTCTAAAACTTTTGTTCTGTTTCTAAAATAAACTACCAGCTAATTTCATTTTCTTGGGAGTACGAAAAGAGAGTTCTGTCTTTCTGCTGTGTGGCTGACAGTGAGCACCACACTGAACTAAGTACTTGCGAAGGATTATAAAGATGTGTGATGTAATATTGACTCAGGAGGAATTTATGGTCTTAAGGAACAAAACATACCTACATATATGAAATGACTGATTACAAAGCAAATACAAGCAAAGGCATGATAATGTAGTATCAACTGTTCAGAAGATTGCCAAGGAGCTCTATACAAACTTAGTGAATAAAAAACTAAAGGGATCATCACATGGGAGAGAGACTAGGGATCAACAGGGATTTGGGGAGGTTGTGAGTCTTTTTTTTTTTTTTTTTTTTTAAACAGAGTCTCGTTCTGTCACCCAGCCTGGAGTGCAGAGATGCAATCTTGGCTTACTGCAACCTCCACCTCCCAGTTCAAGTGATTCTAATGCCTCAGCCCCCTGAGTGGCTGGGACTACAGGCGCCTGCCACCATGCCCGGCTAATGTTTGTATTTTCTTGGTAGAGACGGGGTTTCACCATGTTGGCCAGGCTGGTCTTGAACTCGCGACCTCAGGTGATCTACCTGCCTCAGCCTCCCAAAGTGCTGGGATTACAGGCATGGCCTACTGCACTCAGCCATGAGTCTTGAGCTAAGTTTTGAAGGAACTTAAGGGATATGTATTGGTCACGAGTAGGAAGACATTGCAGGTTAAAGGCAGGGCATATGCAGTGTCACAGAGATGGAAGCAAGCAAAAGTGGGTCAGAGCAAGAAGAGTAGCTTTGTGCATTTATTCAATAACTGTTAGATACTACAGACACAGTGGCACAAAAGGCAGATAAGGTCCTTGCCCTCAAGGAGCTTATATTCTAGTGAGAGTGGCAGTCAATAAACAAGGAAACTAATCAATAATTTAGGTAATCATGGACTGTAATGTTACGAGGGTGCTTATATACAGGGTGCTTTATTAGAGAATTATGTGGAGGTAAGGGGAATATTTTATTTTTGGTTTTTGTTTTGTTTTGTTTGAGACAGGGTCTTGCTCTGTCACCTAGGCTGGAGTGCAGTGGCACGATTTCAGCTCACTGCAACCTCTGCCTCCCCGGCTGAAGCCACAGGGGAATATTTTAAATCACAGAGCCAGAGAAGGCTACTCTGACAGGTGACATTTGAGATGAGACCTGAAGGATGAGAATGAGCCAACTATGCAAAGAACTAGGGAGGGCTGGTCAAAGTGCAGTGGTGTTTACAAGTAATTGACCACAACCAGCTACAGATTTCTTTGTTCTTCCCACTCCCACTGCTTCACTTGACTTGCCCTACAAAAAAGAAAAAAAAAAAGGGCCGGCGCGGTGACTCACGCCTGTAATCCCAGCACTTTGGGAGGCCAAGGCAGGCGGATCCCTTGAGGTCAGAAATTTGACACCAGCCTGGCCAACATGGTGTAACCCCATCTCTACTAAAAACACAAAACTTAGCCAGGCATGGTAGCACACGCTTGTAATCCCAGCTACTCAGGAGGCTGAGGCAGGAGAATCCCTTGAACCCAGGAGGTGGAGGTTGCAGTGAGCCAAGATCACACCACTGCACTCCAGCCTGGGTGACAGAGCGAGACTCTGTCTCAAAAAAAAAAAACAAAAAAAGAAAGAAAAGAAAAGAAAAAAGAAAGAAAGAAAAAAGAACGAGGGAGAAGAGCATTCCTGGCAGAGGGAAGAACAAGTGCAGAAGTGTGGCAGTGGGAAAGCCTTTGTGAACAGAAAGGAGGCAAGGGTAGCCAGAGTGTGGTGAGAGAGTGGGATGACATGAGATTGGAGAGAGAGCGCCAGATCTTATGTGGCCACGTGGGCCAGAACAAGAAGTCAAATTTTATTCTAAATGCTGTGGGGAGGCATTGAAGGTTTTTAAGCAGAAAAGCGACATAATCTAATTGATTTTTTAAAAGATTACTCAGTTGCTGTGTGGAGCATGGATTGGAGTGGAGCATGGATTGGAGGGAAGCAAGGCTGTAAGTGAGAGAGACCAGTTAAGAAGCAATTTCGGAAGTCCAAGCAAGAAAGGATGGCGTGGACTAGAATGGTGGCAATAAAGATGGAGAGGAATGAATGAGTTCAAGATGTCTTTTGGAGGTGGACTCAGCATGATTTGCTGAAGGATTGAATGTAGGGAGTTAAAGAAAGGAATCAAGGGTGGCACCTAGGTTTTTGGTTTTTGTTTGTTTTCATGAGACAGGATATCACTCTGCTCCCCCAGGATGGAGTGCAGTGGTACAGTGGCGCAATCTCGGCTCACTGCAACCTCCGCCTCCCAGGTTCAAGCAATCCTCCCACCTCAGCCTCCTGAGTAGCTGGGATTATAGGCATGCACCACCATGCCTGGCTAATTTTTGTATTTTTTGTAGACATGGGATTTCACCATGTTGCCCAGGCTGGTCTCAAACTTCTGAGCTCAAGTGATCAAGGCCTGCCTCGGCCTCCCAAAGTGCTGGGATTACAGATGTGAGCCACTGAGCCTGGCCGGTTTTTGCCCTTTGACTTAAGAACAGGTAGATGATCTTGCCATTTGCTGATGTGAGGAAGACTGAGGAGGGACAGAGTTTTGGTGGGGAGGAATTAAAAGTTCTGTTTTGGACATGTTAAACTCAAAATGCCCATGAGACATGCAAGTAGAGAAGTCAAGTAGACAGTGGGCTGGACCACATGCGGTCTGTGTAATTGTCCAAACCAGTCATGGTAAGCAGAATAATGGCCCCTACCAAAGATGTCCACACCTTAACCCCCAGAACTTGTGAATATGTTACCTTTCGTGACAAAAGAGACTTTGCAGATGTGATTACTGTTACAGACATTGCGATGGAGGGATTCTCCTGGATTCGTTGGGTGGGCCCCATCTAATCACAATCCTTAAAATCACAAGTGGGGCCAGGCACGGTGGCTCACGGCTGTAATCCCAGCACTTTGGGCGGCTAAGGCAGGCGGATCATTTGAGGTCAGGGGTTTGAGACCAGCCTGGCCAACATGGTGAAACCCCGCCTCTACTAAAAATACAAAAATTAGCCAGATGTGGTGGCACACACCTGTAATCCCAGCTACTCAGGAGGCTGAGGCAGGAGCATCACTTGAACCTAGGAGGCGGAGGTTGCAGTGAGCCAAGATCACACCACTGCAATCCAGCCTGGGCAACAGAGCGAGACTTTGTCTCAAAAAAAAAAAAAAAAAAAAATCACAAGTGGAAGAGGAAGACAGAAGAATGGGTCAGGGAGATGCAAGGATGGAAGAAGAGGCAGGAGAAATGAGGCCTGAGAAGAACTGGACTCGCCATTGCTGGCTTTGAAGACAAAGGTTTCGGGGTGCCAAGAAATGGGTATGGCCTCTAGAAGCTGAGCATGACCCTCAGCTGACAGCCAGCAAGGAAATAAAGGACTTCAACCCTACAGTCACAATGAACTGAACTCAGCCAAGAACCTGAATGCGCAAACTAACAGATTCGCCTCTGGAGCCTCCAGAGAGGCACGCAGGCCTGTCGACACTTCAATTTTGGCCCAGTGAGACCCACATCAGACTTGTGACTACAGAACTACAAGCTAATAAATTTGTGTTGTTCAAGCCAATGTATTTGTGGTAATTTGTTATAGCAGCCATAGGAAACTAGTATATCAGAACATTATTGATAATTATTTCAGGATAATAGGGACAAGTCTAGAGTGTAGGGAAGAGTGATGACTGGAGATAGGAATTTGGGTGTCATCAGCAAATAGATAGCAAGGGACTGAGTAAGAGCAGCAAAGGAGTGGATGGGAAGAAACTTCTGGGGGAGTGGGAAGCAACAAAAACTGACACTGAGGATGGTGGCTAAAGAAAGGCCTCAAGATGTGACTTGAGGCCAGGCACGGTGGCTCACGCCTATAATCCCCGCACTTTGGGAGGCCAAGGTGGGTGAATCTCTTGAGGTCAGGAGTTTGAGACCAGCCTGGCCAACATGGTGAAACCCCATCTCTACAAAAATACAAAAATTACCTGGGTGTGGTGGCGGGCACATGTAATCCCAGACACTCGGGAGGCTGAGGCAGGAGAATTGCTTCAGCCCGGGAGGCGGAGGTTGCCGTGAGTTGAGCTCACACCACTGCACT